TTTTCCTTTTATTTTGAACATATCTAAATATGCCCTTTTTATTACTCTTAGCATCTTTTGCTAACCTCATCTCATTTTGAATTTTTGGTTTCCTGACACTAGCTGTACAGACCTGGGCTATCTGTGAAGTGGCCCTCTTCTCATTTTCAGTTTCCCTGAAAATAAGACCTCCCCATATAATAAGCCCAATCAGGCTTTTGAGCGCATGTGTGAAAATAAGCTCTCGCCAAAAATATTTAAATGCATGTGTAGCCGGCCCCCGCCATTTCCTGGTGAGAAGGGGGGAACATGCCCCACATTTACCTGCAATCCATGTGGAACAGCCTCACAGAGGCCGCTCCTGCAAACCTTAGCTACCATACCCCTTCTCGTAATGGAGGCCGCAAAAAGAGCAGCAGGCCCAGCAACGCTAGGGCTGACAAGAGTGTGCCAGAAACAGAGACAGAACTTCCAGCTCTCTCTGGATCAGCCGATCCGCAGGCCGAGGTTAAGGGGCCTGCTGCACCTCAAAAATGATAAGACCTCCCTGAAAATAAGGCCAAGTGCTTATTTTGGGGGTCAAAAGAAAATAAGACCCTATCTTATTTTCATGGAAACACGGTACATCTTACTTTGTTTCTGTCTTCAAATCTTTGCTAAGCTTTTTGTGTTCCTGTGTTTAATTTCTTTTGTTGTCCTTCATTTTTCATCCTCTTTGAAATTGGTTTTTGATACCCTTCTTCAGGAAACCCACTCATATTACATTCCTGTTTTGCAGTGACTTTCTTCTATATGATCCTACTTACCATTATACTGAGTTCATTAAAATCTACTGTATTTGTTCATTATTTTATTTATATCCTGCCTTTATTATTATTATTTAAAATAAACAACTCAAAGCAGTGAACCTACCTAATATTCCTCCTTCCTCATATTTTTCCTACAATAACATACTGGATAGGTGGATTGGACTGAGAGAAATTGACGGGCTCAGGATCACCCATCTCGCTTTCTTGGCTGAGGCAAGACTAGAACTCACAGTCTCCTGGTTTTTAGCTGGGTGCCCTAACTGTTATAACCCAGCAACAGCCTGTGCTGCGTTCTAATTGGTCGGGCGAAGCACAGCCTGTGATTGTAGGAAAAATAT